CCGTCAGACTGTTCTCATTCAATGTCTTGAAGCACTGTCCGGGCTTCCGTGTACTTGCAGCTCTCATATTCTGTACTCCTCTCAATTCAAAACTCTTTCTCTCTCCCAGTGTTGCCAACTCCTCAGTAAGGAAAGTAGCTATTGGCTGTCCCAAAAGTCGCTAGAAGTCGCTAAATGACGTCATCGCCTAATTTGCATAATTTGCCATTTGCAAATAACTGTAACGGACGCTGTAGGAGAGAGGAATAAGGTCGTGGGAGAGACAAAAGTGAGTAAAAACACCCTAAATATGTTTAGAACTACAAATGTACAAAAATAATTTCAACATTAACAACATTTAATGATTTTAATGCTTTGTCTAGATCCACATTACACACATCAGTTTTGTCCTGTATTGTTAAATGTTATAACAGCAAATGTAATCAAAAGATTGTTATGTAGGGTGAAATTGCTAGCTCTACAACCAACCCTCCTCCTTTATCCGGGCTTGGGACCGGCAAAGTGACCCAAAAGACACACTCTGGCAGAGTTACTTAGGTTTATTTTTGTAAGTTTTTTTTTTTTTTCATAGTTTGGCATAACAAATGATTTAATGTGACCCACTACTGAGAGAAAACAGAGTCACGGACAGAGCTGCCGCGGATGGAGTGGGGGGTAGTGGGGGGTGGCGGTGGTAGGAGTGGCCGGGGAGCTTTGGATGTGTGGTGGTGGTGGAGCTGAAGTTCAGTCTGCAGCAGCCTGAAAACTTCCTGTGCTTTTGAGTCTCCTCTCTCTCTCTCTGCTCCGCCCATAGACTGTAGCTGGGACTGCTGCGCAAGGCTACTGTGAGACTGGCCGCCTGTAAGTGCTTTGGGACGGGGGAGGGGCTCACGTTGAGGACAGCAGAACAATACGTGCTTCACGAGTCTCCAAAACACCAGATAAGTCGCCAAAACACCAGATAAGTCGCCAATAACACCAGAAAAAGTCGCTAGATTTGTCGCTAGTCGCTTTTTTGAAAAAAAAGTCGCTATAGGGGTCTGAAAAGTCGCTAAATCTAGCGACAAAGTCGCTAAGTTGGCAACACTGCTCTCTCCCAAATAATAAAACAAAAAACTCAAGTCCCTGTAGAGTCTAATGACAACATATTGATACATTTTTATAAGGCGCGAAAAACCCCCGGGAAAGGTTACTATGACAACAGTCGCCCCTGCGCCATGTATCCCTATCATGGATGTATTATATTAACGATCCCTATGGGGAAGCAAAAAGGGCTGTGGTTTAGAAAAGTTAAAATGCGTGTAAATCTTGTTTTCTTTACTTTTTCCAAAAACAATATTACCTCAGGGGGGGCAGCACTGCTGTCGACCCTGGTTTTCACCTGTTTCGGTGTTTTTGGTCGTATGAGTGATCATAAGTGCAGTGCCCAGAGCAGTGAAAGCGGTAAACACTCTTAAGCTTTGAGCAGTCCTGAGCTTGACTCTTGTCTTTAGGCCGGAGGTGGCCTTGTTGGTTTGTTCTTCCAATTGTTCTGTGAATGTAGTGCCACATGATATTGTGCTGGATGTGTGTCTTTTATCTATTTTAAGGTGATAACCAAAGGCAATTTTCCACCTTGGTGGACAATAAAGTTTTCTTATTCTTATTCTTATTCTTAACAAAATATAAACAACAAGTACCCAGTAAAAGTCATAAAATTTCAACTTCTGGCGTTTTGTTTTGAATACACTAATTAGCATATTAAAGTGAGTGACGGTCAGTTGACCGCTAGGGGCGCTCCTAGTCTTCCCATTCTGCTGTGCTGTTTAATACCAAAACTTTCTAGCAGCAAACGACGGCTCGTTCACATGGTCAGAGCAGCGAGTGACGAGCCGCGTCTCACAGGTCTTCACTAGGGATGGGCGATACCAGTGATTTTGGATTCGATCCGATACCAAGTAATACCTGGGGCAAAAGGGTCGATATCGATCCGATACCGATACCGGAAGTAGTTTTATTTTTTATTTTTAATATATATATTGGATCAACAGCTGAACAAAACAGTCTTCTACATGGCTTATATGAACAAAAGGGGTAATTTATCAATACAGGTGCTTAATAGCAAGTGCAAGATGAAAAATAAATATGCTTTTTTGTAGGTATTATGGTATAAGGGATCCAGCGGAGTTCATCCCTCAAATTGAACACTGAACACGTACATTGATGTACACATTTCCCCTTCATATTTACTTTACTTGTATTAGATCAAATGTAAAGCCAGTAAAGTACCTACATGTTTTCTAGCACAGATTGGGACTTTTTAGGTAACATACATCAATAAAATGTATCACAGCATTTGACCATTGTTTAATATTGCACATCGACCAGTAATGCTCATGTCTTTTGGTTATCTATCAAACAAGTTTTACCTGGATATACCCTGCCTTTGTGAAACGCCTCTTGTAATGTACTTTGCCTCGGTGCTGCTGCTGTACTGCTTTCTCCTCCCGCTGCCTCAGTCACAGCTCGTTTCTTCTGTAACTCTTCGTGCACCGTCGGATGCACGTTTTTTAAATGTTTCGTTAGATTGGTGGTATTGCCACAATATTTCACAGTCTTGTCACACACATCGCATCTTGCATCGCTGCTGTTAAGCAATCGAAAATGACTCCAAACAAGACTCCTCTTACGCTCGACGCCATGGCCATGTTGCTTCACCTCCTGCATGCCGTCACTGTGTTTATTTGGAGGTCCGGCTCACGGAGCACATGTGAGGAAAGGAGGGGGCGGAGGGGGCAGACGCCAGCAGCAGCTTGTGTTGTGCAGATGGCGGAATGAAAAGTAGTTTGTGCTGGCGCTGCGTGAGTGCAGAAAGCGGAAGGAAAAGTCGTTTGTGTGTGCAGAAAATATAGGATTATTACAGAAAAATAAAATATATTAATTTAATTAGAAGTATCGATATTTTAACTTGAGGATCGATCCTTAAATTTGAGCCACCTGGATCGAAATATCGATATTTTGGTATCGATCCGCCCATCCCTAGTCTTCACAAAAGTTTAAATACAAGTGATGTGTGTGGAGCTGATCCCGAGGACCATAAACACAAACATGTTCCATGTGGTTTGACTGGAGCCGCGTATTTGCGCGAATCCTTTGGGCTCCGTGACACAGAGGAGCGCGACAGACCGGTATGTGTGTGTGTATGTGTGTGTGTGTGTATGTGTGTGTGTGTGTGTATGTATATGTGTGTGTGTGTAAATGTAAGCTCCAATGTAGTTCTGACCCGCGCCAGTGTGCAACTTTGACGGTAACAGAGGGGAGAGATGATGCGTGTGGATGTTACGTATGGAGAGGGGGAGGGGGAAAGTGTGTGTGCGTGCGTGCATATGTGGCTCGTGCGGCGTGAGAGTCGTCCCGGTGTTTATAATACATGGGCGCACACAGCTAGATACGGACCCGCTTGTCACACCGTGCAAATAGGGCTTAAAATAGCGTTATGAAGAGACCTCCCCTCTCCCCTTTTTCTCTTTTTTAACCGACAGCTTTGACCGGTTAACGCTGTGACGGTCAACCACCGGTTAAACGGTCGCCGATTTACATCCCTATTTAGGACAACATTGGATCATTCAAAGATCCTCACTGAACTTCTGGACTGAGTTTGCTGCACTGAAAGTAAAGGGGCCGAATAATATTGCACGCCCCACTTTTTAGTTTTTATTTGTTAAAAAAGTTTAAATCATCCAATAAATTGTGTTCCACTTCACGATTGTGTCCCACTTGTTGTTGATTCATGACAAAAAATTTAAATTGTATATCTTTATGTTTGAAGCCTGAAATGTGGCGAAATGTTGAAAGGTTCGAATACTTTCGCAAGGCACTGCATGTGTTGACAAATTGCTCTTTCAGTGAGACTAAGTCATGTGAACCAGCCTTTACCCGTTATTTGGTCTAGTTGAGTTTAGAAGGGCATCCAAAAAAGTGAAAACTAAAAACTGCCAAATCACAGTGCAACTATTGTGTTGACCCATGACAGCAGATTTTGGAGAGAAGAGACCACATTTTGGAGGGATTTCTGTACATGTTTTGGTAAGTGTCCTCCAGCCCTAAGTTGGTGAATGCATTACAGAAGACTTATGGGGATTTTTCCATCGATCTGCAAAACTGCTATGTTTATTTCTGCCAGCTCTTTAACAATACATGGACATTAGCAACACATTGCGGAAGTAAGCAAGCCTGGCTAACACCAGACTAAATATCCCCGGTGAATATACTGTCTGGGAACCATCCATATCTTTTCTCGTAGGAGGTGTGGTTGTTTATTGTGCTGAATGTCATGCGTCTGCATGTTTGCACCAATCATATCAATTTTACCCGATAACGTATGCTGCTCGACAGAAATGGCCATGCCTTCTGCTGGATCTGTGAAACAAACTACAAGCTTTCGTCTGTCATCGTAGTCTTTGCAATCGGTCCTCCCCAAATCCAAGCGAAAATGTTATCCCAAGTTTCCAGGCTGTTGTGTAGCTCAAAATAATCAAGCGCACACAGCAGCATGGGAACCCCAGACTTGTGAGCAGCAATGTATTTTTTTCATTCACCAAAATGTTTGTGATTTTGATAGTGACTTGTGCTCATTCTTGTCTCTTACTTTAAAATGATGAAAGGGATTGTTTTGGGTTATTTGAAGCATGTCCCCATGACCCAAGCCTCATATCTACAGCGGCAGGAGACAATACCAATATTATCTAATCCAGTACTACAATTATTCATATTATATTGGAATATATAATATGAATATGATATAGGCTTTATAATAGGAATTTTCTTACCCAGCTTCCAAAAGTGTGCTTGATTCTAATCCAGGGCTTCCCAAAGTGGGGTCCAGGGCCTCAGAGGCAGCAACAATACATTGTGAATTTAATTATATCACTAAAGAGCAAGACTTACTAGTTCGTTATTTTTCATTTAATTTGATCCACCACATTTGAAGGCTCTTATACAGGATGTTCTTTTGGCCCCATATGTCTGTTTAAATAAGTTTCATGTCCACACAGCAGAGGATATGCCAGGCACTGGTGTTGTGTGTGTTGTATTACCAGTGGGCCGGTCCCAGAGTCAGGCATTATTACTCAGCGGAGGAAGACGAGAAGCATCCTCCCTCCTCTCCCTCGCCCCACCTGTCTGCTCCAGCCGTGAGTTCAGGGTTGAAACAGAGTTCAGCCAAGTCGACAACTATTCCTGCTTTTTTATCAGCCGCCAGGGACCATATTTCCTGATGATCTACAGCAGGCAGCATGAGATACTGCGAGCAGAGAGGGAGACAATTGAATGGACATGAATGATTTACTGCTACATATCTGCTATAATACCAACACAGGCCCAGGTAAGGAGAGCGCCCCTGCTGACATCACTGATGCTGCTTCAGATAACAGCGGCATCATCAACTATGTATGCAAGTGGTAAAAGATATAAGATAATGTCCCAGTGAGAGTGCGCTTTTTACAGGTCTAATGAAAAATAGACACGAGAACGAGTCAAGCACAGGTCAGGCGCACAGGAGAACAGGAACGGATTTAGATTACATATTATTGCAAGATTTTATTTGCAACCAAACCACAATGGCCATCTCAATTTCTGTGATTTCTGTGTAGACATCAATCAATAGAGTTCAGCCTGGCACCTGACCACAAGATTAGACCAGACATAAAGCAATATTTAAAGGTTGGAAAACTCACAGTATCATAGTGTAAAGAGATTTCTCTGGTAACCTCTTTCATTACCAATGTTTGTATTGAAGGAAAAGTATTTTTTTGTAAAACAATATTGTAAAGTGTCCAGATGGAAATTATTTTCTTTGCTATGTATGTATGTTGTATGTATGTCAAAATAATACTGTTGGGTGGCAGGAAATTGCAAATGTACCAACACCGACTTACCTCGCACAAAGCCAGCCTACCTCTTAATATTTACAGTCTAAGCTCTTAACCCATGTCCTAACCTTATCCAAATACCTCTAACTAACCCTAACCTAATTGTAACTCTTAAACACAAAGCGAAATCTGAATATTTCTGCCTACACATCTACATTATGCAAATCAACTAAACTGTTTGTTAGTTAAAAAATAAATAAAACGCACGTAAATCAATGGAGCCAAAGCGAGGCCACAATCAGCGGAAGTGACGTCAGGATGTTTTGAATGGTTCGTGAAGAGGAGAGAGGAGGGGACCGCTACTCTGACCATAAACACATCTCTAGCCAGCATCCCCTGCAACATCTGGGGAAACCTCTGTCCTTCATGTCGCCATAATCACACCTAAAGTAAGAACTTTCACCTTCAATTGATCGCAAACGACACGATAAATGCGCCCGAAGCTACATCACGCTAGCTTTAAAACAGATGTATGCTAGCATGCTCGGCTAAGGTAAACAAACGCGATCCACTCTTGTCTTGCGCTCTTTTCGTGGTGTATGTAGAAATTATATTATTGTCCAATAGTTGCATTTATTCCTTCATGTGTCTGATCCTGTATGCGTGATTATCTCTTCAGTTGATGCCTGAAGCAATGCTAAAAATAGCCCCCTAAAAAATCCCCATTCCATTAAATTTATTTACCGTGAAGTTGAAATGGCTTAGGTCTTAATTACTCATCGAAACACTATGTGTAAATGGCAAGTAATGATGTTCCATTTGATAAGCATCCTCCTTTGTATATTTTGTGTAGGTTAGGCATCAAAATCTTTCTGAATTCGATTGATTTGCATTGATTATTGACCTGCTTCTATGCCTATGATATTTGTCCTGGTGAAAAGTGCATAACAGATATCATGACTCGTAACAGGCTTTCATAATAAACTTTTGTAACTTTCACCATGCCTTAAATAGCACACAAGTGCCAACTGGTCATGAGAGTTGGGAGCAGTCTGCGTCTGTGTAGAGCCTGTTCTACTGTTGTCTCCCACGCTTAGGAGACCGCAATGGACCTCCAGAAGATCATCCATGATGCATTGCACAAGTTTATCCAGACGTACATTCCAGATGCTGATCTCAGGTACTTTTTTGTCATTAATTTCTTGGATTTATACAGCCTTTATTTAGAATCTTAGTGTACATTTATCTTGGTCTGAAACTACGTTCATACTGATCATAATGACTTAAATGAGTTGTTCTACCATGGCCAGTAAAGATTTCAACGCAAGCTGTTGATTTATACTTTTTAAACCTCATTTTACAGGTGCCATGTCACTTCATCTACGTGAAAACACAGCATTTAGCACAAGCAAGTTAAATTAAGTTTAATGTTGGAACATTTTGTTTCTGTGTCTTCATTTTGGTCTTGGCAGCTTTTTCTGGCATCTCTGAAATATTAAGAAAGAATTAAATGAAAGGATCAAGTGGAAAGCTTTGGGATTGAGGAGTTTCACTTTTTAATCTTTGAGCCCTAAACCAGACTATCAACACAATTAATGTACATGTCCCATAAAGCTAACACCAATGATAAAACATAGTTATCTAAAACTAATGTGGACTTTTCGTAACTAAGATGACAATAATTATTGGATTACATATTGTAGACAAGGAAAAGTTCCCCTCTAAATAAATACCAAAAGTAAATCCACATTTCTCATCAAAAAGAACACTAAACTGGTGGATGTGGTTGCAGCTCACTGGATGATGTCTTGTTGTCGTACATCACTGGAGTCTTGGAGGACCTGGGCTCTCAGGAGAGCGTGGAGGAGAACTTTGATGTTGAAGTCTTTGCGGAGATGCTGGAAGCCTACATCCCAGGGTTTGCTGAAATCGACAGGTAACTTTAGTAAAAGTCTGGGCAGATGTGTATCAGAGGAGCGGTAAATATAACCAGCCAAAGGTGTGTATGCACTGAGTAAGGCTGCATTAAATAATTATTTTTGCCATTCTAGCATTTTGAATGATGTTAGAACTTTTAAGTTGTATAGGAGCCTCATCAATATAACATTTACAACAACAATAGGATAAAGTTGAAGTTAAGCCGCTTGAGGTCATTCGTATGTACTTCAGTATATTTCCAAATATGAAAATCAAAAATGTTTACATTTTCCATTTAGGGTTAGGGTGAGAAGGCGTAATCCCTTTTTTGTCTCAGAGGGATTCAAGATAGAACAGGTTTCAGAGGGAGTTTTTAACGCCCCCTGACAGAAAATACAATTTTCTCCCATTGCATGTGTTATTTCTCTCTCTGCACATCTGTATTTTAACAGATTAACATGAATATGTAATTATTAACCTGTTTAAGCAGATAAACCTAACTTTCAAACCACAAAAATAGAATTATGTTATAAAATGTTCCATATGTTCCTCGCTCTCAAAACAGTTTCGCTCTATAACTAGTTTTCGCATCTCACTCAGCTCTCAGCCCTAAGCGTTAGTGACTCTCGGGGCTCACAGGCAACTTGGCAAGTATGCAGAAGATAACATGTTTTCTAAGGGTGTATTCAGACCTGAAAAGTCCTTTGCTCCGCTTGCTTGATCCGAATCAAAAGCAAACCAAACTTTTTTCTTTTGCTCCGGTTTGTATTCAGACTGACCTTTTTGCAAGTGAACTTTTTTATATAAACATATTGACACGTGTGACGATCGGCGCTCCTATTGGACAGCAAGAGCTCACGGAGGATAGACGTGGAACCAGAGGAAAACATTGATGGCTCGTACGTGCTGCATGTCTGCTCTGCCTGTTTGCTCTTTTTAGAGCAAAACCACCTTCAACATCAACAGCAGCAGCTCATATGACACAGGCCAAACACGTTGTTTTAAATATTGGAGCAGCGTCGGAGAATGCGTGAGGAGAAAGCCGAAGGAGACTGTCTGTGCGCTCCGTGCCCTGTCCCACACATGGATCTATGATAATAACGGCCCTGTTCAGCATTGTGGATAAACCATGGATCTATAATAACCACGGGACAAACAGACGCTGAGGATCAGGTAGGAACCAAAGAACACAATTCACTACATGATGCGGAATGTTGCTTTTTGAGACGTGAGTCAAACACATCAGGCTTTTAATAATGCAAATGGTTTGAAGATGTTGCCATTAACATCAATGTATACTGTGAACAGTTTTAACTCCATAAGCCTGTTGCACAGCGTCTCCTCACTGCTCCAGGTCTGCACACGGCTCAGTGTTGTTGTGTAGCGTTAGCAGCATAGTTAGCAGCATAGTTAGCTGCTGTGTGGCTAATTCCTCAGTTTCTGTCTGCGGCTTGTTAACCCCAAAAAATGCGCACGTATCTTGGAGTTGTGTCGGATCGACACCGGATGTATTCAGACCTGATTCGACTTGGACCAGAATTCGTTTGGAAGCGGACCAAGACCACTGATAATGCTGTTTCAACTACAGTTGAACCTGATGAAATCTCACACAACAAAGAGACAAAGTTAATTTTTTACTTGTTACATTGTACAAGGAGAATGTCTTGACAGAGGCAAGGCACAGACCCTAGCCTCTCTCAGGACAAGTCTGAAGATTCACAGTCTGCAAGCCCCTTTTGGTAGAGCAAGACACACCTTCGTATGCAGATGGGAAAGGAAGAAACCAACACAACAAAAGACACTTAGCATATGAGCTCCCCAGACCTCCCGGTGTCTTCCTGAAGCTAAAGTGAATTACAATACAGAGCATTCAGCATATAGCCACATATGATTTACCAAAATGATAACTTAAGTTACATTCCAATATCACCACCTAAAAAAGTGGGTCTCGGTTCGGTTCTTTGGTCCGGACCAGGATTCGTTTGTGTGCATTCAGACCTGCATAAAAGCTTCAGATCAGAGTTCCAAACGAATCCTGGTCCGTTTAAAGTGGAGCAAATGTGCAGGTCTGAATACACCCTTAAAGGAATAGTTCACCGTTTGTACATACTGACATATGTTCTTACCTTACCTTAGACTAGTTAATACGTACCTGTCTGGTCTTAGTCCGTGCGCTCTGTCATGCAAACGGAGCAAAAACTGGAGCACAACCGCAGCCTCCTCTGTATATTTTGTAGCACCAAAAGGTAGCTCCCGCTAGAAGCTACCAAACTCTTCCAAGTGTTCCCTATTAAATGTATATAGTTACGTGACGTGTTACACTGCAAAGTATAGTAACACAGAAATGTAACAGTCGATTTTCTCAGCGGATAAAACGGGTACTATATTGTGAGGCGTAGTAATCTGAGGTGCGCTACGTCCGCGCACTAACTTCTCTCCGGAGACTTCTCTCTCGCTCACTTCCGTCAATAGAAGCAGCGTGACTTGTAATACACACAGTAGCAGCGAGAGAGAAGTCTCTGGAGAGAAGTTAGTGCGCGGACGTAGCGCTCCTAACTTCTCAGCGCACTAACTTCTCTCCGGAGACTTCTCTCTCGCTGCTACTGTGTGTACTACAAGTCCAAGCCCCGGCGATCCAAGATGGCGCCCTATTCAAATGAATGGTTGTGCTCAGTGGCGCTTTGTGACAGCATGGGGGCTGAAAGATTAGCGGAAGTTGCCTGAAACTCGCAAAGATCTATGGGAAACTCGCCTGTATTTGGGCATCGTCTGGTCCTCCCGGTTCTGCGCAGTGGATGATCTCCCATAATGCGTTGCGCCAAACACGCGTGTGTGGGTCTCACACCGGGTCTCACGCACGTGCCCAGAGGGGCTCGGCCGCGCTCTGACCAATCAGAGCAGTTCATCAGAGCGGGAGTTAGAGCGAGAGCCAGAGGAGCAGAGTTTGTGGCACTAAAGTGTGGATTTAAACAAAACCGAAGGATTTAAGAAGAAAAAAAGTTCAGGATGACAAGGGACACTAAAATCCCCACAAAATCCGACCTTTATGAAAGCTGTAGGTTCTCTGTCAGCTGAGGTCGAGCTGTTTTAATATGCATTGAGTTCTATGGGGAAAATTTCTGGGTAGCCCACGTAAATTTAGTCTGGTTCAGTCTGCAGTACCGCGAGAATCCCCTGAGCACGTGAGTTATTCAGCTACAAGCTAGTAATACCCTATCCAGTTAATATAATACATCCATGTACAAGTCACGCTGCTTCTATTGACGGAAGTGAGCGAGAGAGAAGTCTCCGGAGAGAAGTTAGTGCGCGGACGTAGCGCACCTCAGATTACTACGCCTCACAATATAGTACCCGTTTTATCCGCTGAGAAAATCGACTGTTACATTTCTGTGTTACTATACTTTGCAGTGTACCACGTCACGTAACTATATACATTTAATAGGGAACACTTGGAAGAGTTTGGTAGCTTCTAGCGGGAGCTACCTTTTGGTGCTACAAAATATACAGAGGAGGCTGCGGTTGTGCTCCAGTTTTTGCTCCGTTTGCATGACAGAGCGCACGGACTAAGACCAGACAGGTACGTATTAACTAGTCTAAGGTAAGGTAAGAACATATGTCAGTATGTACAAACGGTGAACTATTCCTTTAAGAGGATGAAGACAGAATGCAATGGTCTGATTTGTGTATTGTTTACATTTTACTTTTTCAAGACTCTTCTACTGGGACAAACATTATTGAAATTAGACTTCAGTCGTAAATGTTTTTTGCAGTCTGAGTACTACTGGCCAAACATTTGAAAATTGTGTATCTGTAATTCAACTTAAAATGTAGTCCCTCACTACAAAGCGGTGCACATTTTGAGGCATCGCTGTTTCTCAGTTTGTTTTGTGTGCAATTTTGCATTTTTCACATAGTGTATACAACAATATCATATAAACAAGGCTAGTATAACATGACAGTTACTTTTTATTTAAAGCCCCAAAAAAATTTTGTGGCGTGTGTGCACCTCAGTGATTAGTTCAGAAGACTACCATGGTCTTCCCGTAGCCCTCAGTCCTGTTCCTGCTCCTGCAGTTGTATTTTACAGAGTATGCACAGATTTTGACAGCTTACAACAAACTTATTTGATATCTCCGCAATCGCACTTCAGCAGCCATGTTTTCAGGTGGTTAGAAAAGTGTATAACATGTGTGTTGTGTGGGTTTACGGTCTTAAAATATATATTTTTATTATTTGAACTATTAATTATTTAACAAGGAACCAAGGTAGAACGTTCTCTTACACTGCATTACTTTAAAGGTGGTATGTACGCTCAAACCACACAAAGCACTAATGTGATGCTTTGCTTGTGATTGCAGTGTCAAAGTGTGTGAAATGATGTTCAGCCTGGCTTCCAAACTGGCCACCGCCCGCAATTCAGGTAGATTCACTCGTGCCAAGTTTGCAAACATTGTCCAAGCATCTTCCTAATGTGATTTCCTATCAATATCCTGCTGGCAGCCGCCCCGTTACGGGATATGAAAGCCAGACACGGATCAGCGGCCTGACATTTGTTCTGCTGTGCTGCTGCTGATTAATTAGTTTAGCGTTTCATTTTCAGCTGACAATGAAAACAATGTGCCTAAGGCGAGGACAGATGAGAATTCAGTGAAGCTCGCCACAGTGCCAAGCGCTCTGCCAGTCCCCAGTGAAGAGCAGTGCCTTACACCGCCGATAGAGGGCGCCACAGCCAAGGTATTCAATGCCAGTTTTCTTCAAGCTCAAGTACCTAACTTTGAAACCACAAAGGAATTAACTACATAATAAAATCCATGTAACTAATTCCTCACTCTTAAAGCTGTTTGGTTCAATTAAGTATTTAACATATTATTTCTTATAAAGACTTTAGGTACCCAGGCTTTAATTGACATGTGATTTCCAGTTGTCGGAGTGGGAGGCACAGGAACAGCACCTTCTGGAGATGTTCCCCAAGTGCTCAGTGTCGGAGGCCCGCAACGCTCTGTCCATCGCCAAAGGGGACATGGAAGAAGCGGTCCGCCTCATCATTGAAGGGGACGTCCAGCTCAGCCCTACTCCCATAAATGTAAGGCCACACACATTCCTTGAACTCTGATACAGCTCTTGCAATTGTATATTTGATTGTTTTAATTATATTGATTACAAAAGGAAACACAATTCGAGATTTTACCAGACAACGTTGAATTGAAGACACTTAAGAAATTGCTGATACATAGTTTTTTCCAAACTATAAAACATCAGTTTCAACATCATTTTCATCAAATATCTGCTCAGTGTGAAGCACAAAAACACCTCCCAGCGCATGCTATTATTTAGCATCTATTTATAATCTATCTTACCATAGTTTGATTACTAAATCAAAGTTGAAAGTTATGAATTAACTCATGGATCGATTATAATATCTGAGTAGGGTAGGGGTATTTAATTGCTAGTTTAAGCCAGTCTCCATTGCATGCTCCAAAATCACCTGCGGTACTGAAAACTAGATTCTCGAGGGCTCCACAAGAGACTTTCTCATCAACCGTAACGTGAACAAAAACGGCTCGTCCTAAAGCGGCCAGGGAATCGACAGCTTGTCAAAGGCTTTTGTAACCATTAACTTTTTTCTTTTGAAATCCAATAATTTGTTGTAATCCCATGCATTGAGGACAACCCAGACTTAAAGGAGCAGTATGTAAAAAATCTGGCTAAAAGTGGTACTGCAACCTCTCCCTAACTCAGGCTGCCAGATCTACAGTCTATAGCCAACACCTTTTTCACAAAGGCCCGATAGAAATCCTCGTTTTATTCCTTGTTTTGTCATTAATGGTTTGATCATCCATGAATCATAGCGAGACCTTTTTTAGTTCTGCGGCCACATGTTACTTTACCAGTGAGATTAGCTCAACGCGGTGAGTTCTGGCAACCCGGACTTTCTGATTGGTAAAACGGTGGAGTGGGGGACATCGAAATGAAAACAATAACAAGATTTTGGAATATCTCGGCTGGACTACTCTTACCAGTGAAAGAAGTATTTAAAAAGAACATGGTTTATTAATGCCTTTTGACATATTAGAGCCATTTAAGGATGACTTGACATGAAAACCGTACATACGGACCGGTTAGTTATTTTTATTTTCTATTTAGGTAAACCAAGGGAAGACTGTCACATCAGTGGCAGACCATAAACTCAAAGAGAGCATCTTGGAAAAGTGAGTTAAACACAAGAGTTTCCTTTTTTACTTTTGTATAATTTTTGTTGTTATCAACCCCTGTCCTGTTCCAGGTACATGCTTGTGGACAGCGAGGAAGACAACAAAACTCATCGACCGGTCGCTCCCAAAGACGTGAGTTCACCTCCACTGCTCCTCCAGTCAGTCTCTCCCGTTTGTCCCTCACTCTCGCTCTTTTGCAGGCGCCAAAGAAGCTGGTGCGCTATCATGAAAACCAGGTGGTCACTACAAAAGGCGAGCGGTACCAGCTGGTGAAGAAGAGCGAGGAAGAGGAGTTGAAGAAGACGTACGTGAACCTCAAACCTGCCCGAAAGTACAGGTTCCATTGATGAGCACTCCACGTTCTCTGCGCAGCTACTGACCATATTGTTTACACATTATTTATTACAGAGCGCTTTGTAACCAGGTGGGCGCCAGGCTTATATGGAACACTGGTTACTGTTACATGCCGTTTTTTGGTTTAAATATTAGCTAAAGGTCACTTATGTCACTTTTCTGGAGCCAGGGTCTTGGGTCAGGTCTAGTCAACTTCAATTCAGTTTATTTTGTATAGCACTAAATCACAACAGCACAACTGCTGTTGTGATTTAGTGCTAGTCTGAGTTGTTAACTACAGATCAGGAAATCAAACGGTTCAAATGCAGGAAATGCAATAATACCGCCTACATAGGAGCCATTGGTCCTTGGGGCGGATGACCAAGGTCCAAAAATGAACTTTAAATGTCCAGGATCATCACTGCCCTCATGCATTGACAAGGAACAACTCACAAACCGCTGTGGTAAAAACAGATAAATATCAGGGAGGTCCATATTGAGGTCCAGGACTGAGGCTGTAGATCCAGGACGGACGCTGTAGATCCAGGACTGAGGCTGTAGATCCAGGACTGAGACTGTAGATCCAGGACGGAGGCTGTAGATCCAGGACTGAGGCTGTAGATCCAGGACTGAGACTGTAGATCCAGGACGGAGGCTGTAGATCCAGGACGGAGGCTGTAGATCCAGGACGGAGGCTGTAGGTCCAGGACTGAGGCTGTAGGTCCAGGACTGAGGCTGTTGGTCCAGGGCTGAGGCTGTAGGTCCAGGACTGAGACTTAGTTTTTACAAAAATAGTAGTTTATTTTATTCTGTTTTGAGCTGATTTAAATATACTTGGTGCGAATTTTGTCTAGGCCTAGTTTGATCTGAGTTTTTACAAGGACTGATGTTCGAACATTCTTGCATTAAATAGATTTTGCAATATTTTGTGTGACACTATATAACGTATTGGTGAATTGTGCTCGGCAGTGAGAACCGTTTATCCAATGAAAAATTATAGCCCCTTGTTTATGCTTGTTATGTTTGGCAATAAAACTATAATAATCTTTTTTATTGAAAAAACTGGAATTGTTGCTGTTTGCATATGAAGCGATTACCTAAGTCACTATTCCCACAAATTTCAGATAATTACATTGCTTTCTAAATTCTGTGCTGTGCACTGTTGTATAAATGAGATGTCTCAATTGGAATTACAAAATCTAAATTAATGCCCAACTTTCCAAATATACTTTCTTATTCCATTGACGAATCTTAAAAAATACTCAAGATACATTCTCCCAAATTCAAGTGATTAGTTGAGCATATCTTAAGTAACTTAAGTCACTTAAATAATCAGTCTTTGCAGTTTGATATTTCTTTTTGTAAAAGTTTGATTTTGATACATAGAGTTGGAAAAAGTAAAGTGACATGCTGGATTATTTCAGCTACGCAATACTGGTAGATCTTTGAAAGTTAAATTCAATATTTTAGATTAAACTTTTATATTTTCTAGAAAGGGAAACTCATTGTGTATATTCATATGTTTCAGGCCTTTGTGAATAATCTTTCACTTTCTGAAATGATCGGACATTTTGTGAACGTTTTCCACAATATTCATTTGTTTTTACCCATTCATGTAAAATGAGAAAAATGTTATTCCCTCGACCAGAAAAGTTACATAAAGCAGCTTTAATTTCTCATTTTTTTCTGCTGTTAAAACTTGCAGTAATACTTTGGGGAGTTTTTTGTGTTGGTTTTTATGCCTTACGGAAGTTGAAAAATAAAAAGTTTATTTTATGCCGATCAATTAATAACATGTAAATTAGTATTTTGTCTGAAGTGTTGTAGGGATATAACTGGAACTGTAGACTTTAGCTCATACTGCTGTTACTTTCTTAATTTCATTTTTGAGATTTTATTTTGGGATCTCATTTTGCTTTGTACTTTATTTGTGTAGAGTGGACGTTGCACTGACAATTTCATGAGCTCATTTCACCAAAAAACTTGAACATAGCTCTATATGTAAATAAATATTTTGGTTTTTATTGTGTGCGCTAGGATTTAATGTTTTTGCTTTTAGTAGACGGGGAAGAAAAAACTTCTCAAAGCAAACAGGATTTTTTATTAGCAATTCTAATCATGTCTGTTGGAAGTTTAAATGTGCCATGTTATTTCCTCTTTGTCTGACGAGACCCATGGCTTTTTCCTCATTTTTTTCCTCTAAATTGTTTTAAATTGCTTCAACTGGTTCTCTATTTTATGCAATTGCTTCTAATTTCAAACTTGCACAAAAAGAACGTATTTTGATTATTACTTTTATTATGAGGCATGTTTTGAAAGCATTTTCTTATGCCCAGTCTCCATATGAACAACTAGTCTTCAGAAATTTGATTTTGTTTATTTGTGTAGATCTTTGTTCAGTGCTCAGTAGATTAGACTATAGTTGATGTCACATGAACATTATTTATATTTGTGTAGGCCTGTACTGCCGTTTGTGTTAAGACTGGTTTAAATTATTTAAAAACTGTGTATAAATATAACAAAGCACTCCACCAGAATGAACGTTTCATTTAGGTCAATATCATTTTGGTTCCCAGCAGACGCACAATTTCTAGTTAATAAATACAATTTTTTTTTGTTAAAGACTTGTGGCTTTTCGTTCTTTCCTGTTCCACTTTGTTAAACACATTCAAGTGTATATGCTGTTATGTTATTTTTTTCACGCAGTGCAACACAATTACAAAAGTCACTTTGTCTGACCGAAGAGTAGAGGCCGTATTCCTAAAGATTCTCCTCTCAGAGCTCTTATAGCTAGGAGTCTTTGCTTAAAAGTTATCTCAGAACATTCTCAGAGAACTCTGAGCAAGGAATGGACAAAAACTCCTGAGTGAGGAGGCGTGGCCGACTCCGTTGCTAGGTATGAGTCATAATTTCAGACGCTGTGATTGGTTGATCCTAAAAGTTAGAGAAAACCTACTTTTGGTGATAATGGGCAAAATAAGGACCCTCAAATGGACACACTTAATCATGGAATCTAATCTTAGGAAGACTGCCATTGTAAATAATATTCCTCATAAAAGATATATGTAAGGGATAATGTATAGTCTGCAGGTCATTATCGGGAAAAAGTACCGACAGGGCATCGTTCACACAGTAGAAACTCAGCCACAAAAATTCAATCCAGTTTTAAATTTAATTGGGAAAAGCACACATTCTTCATTTGAATAACACATCAACAAAAACAAAGCATTGATATAACAAAATCAACTGCCTGCAACACTTGTATTGTGCCATTGTTCTGAAAGGCACCGTAAACATATGAGCAATTAAAGCTTTGCAGACCAAATCCCATTTTTAGTATAATCCGTAAATAGTCCACACGGATTGGCACAAAAAAGACAGACCTATTAGTCCTATGTATACAATTCACCTTTTCCTTAGTGAATCTATACCTTTTACATTTGAGCAGGACAATAGTAGACTTTTACTTAAAGTCAAAACATACAAAAATGACTAAATGCTGTGGAAATCTTCAATCACATACAAAGGTTAAAGAAGAAATGTTATGTATCATTTTTGGCCATTTAACAAATATCAAGGGTAAATAATGCAAGCGGCCTTCTCTATCCCTGTACTACCACCAGAGGGAGGTGTAGATATGTGTTTCCAAACTTGAAAATTACCGGCTGCAAGCATAGTCTTGTGATTGTAAAGGACATCATTTAGCTTAAGAAAACTAATTTATGAGCAACACTTTTGTTTTAAAAGGCAGAAAACTTCAGTGTGACGTCATAGTAGTACAATGATCATCATCATACTATGACCGGATTTGGAAAGGAGGGGCAGAGTTGCATGTGCCAGAAGTTCAAAAAAGTACTTTTTCAAAATACATCTCCTTTAAATTCTTGCAATTTTTGTTGCAAGTTTTAATATAACACATTAAAAAGTAGATTTTGAGCATTTTATGGTCTGAAAGTACAAATGTACTGCAAAACTGACAATAAATGGATCCCTCAAAGTACTAAAGAAAACTACAAAAAACAAGCACATAAATAAACAAGAAATACTGAGGGAAATGTTTCCTGGTGTCTCTGTCAAAACTCAATTTTAAAACAATTCTACAGTGCATTGTTTTACTATTTACTATAGTACATCTTGCTTAAATAGTGGTGTGAAATCATTCATACAACATTGTAGCAGCATCGTTACAGTTAAAACACAGGGTTAGACAGTGGTTGGCTTCAGGTTGAGAATCAGCTACAGTTGTGTCATGCTACGGACGCCAACATGTATGGAGCTGCAAAGTGAGAGGAGCTTTTGTCTCTGGGGAAAAAATTCCACCATTTAAAATCCCCATAGGAGTTCAGAAAATGCCAATATGATTCATGTATGTTTGAGTTATGTATAATCTCTTTTACCTGCAATAGCCTTTTCTGAATCTATTTATTTAATGTAGATCTCAGATAGCTGATCACCTCTGAAAATGTTTTTAAGTATTTTTCGAAATCCCTACGGGGATTTTATTTACTGAGATCTCAAGCCCCTCCAACTTAAAAGCTCCATGGGCCTGATGTTCAAGGTTATTCTACTCAAACATGAATAAAAGCAAAGAGGAAATAATAATAGTCCAAACTTATCAAAGACCGGTACTTGCGATTATCAATAATTCATTTCACGCTGAATCATTGAGTCGTAAATCAAAGAATGCTCTGAAATTCAACCCAATTAATAACCGCGTAATTACAAACTATATTTCTAAAACAGTTTTTTCCTTTTCATTATCTACACCCCTACACAGTGGACAATATTTCAGCGCTTTATAAGTGTTGCGTGGACCTTTATAGCCACTTAAATTATTGCAATCACTCCCTTTTAGAACATAAGGGAAATGTTGCTTACATAGATAGATAAATACATGAAAACCAGTTTGATTTGAACTGGTCATTAAACTGTCCTGGTAAAAGATTTAAAAGGCGTCCCAGAAAAGGTACCGGTAATTCAACACTGACTAATGCAGCACACACGTACATATATTTAGAGAGTGAATGACAATATGAGGTTTTTCTACTTGGGTAAAAAACAGTTACTTTGTTCAAACCTTTGTGTATCTGTACCGTTTGCTCAAATGTATTCCCAAAAAGTGATTACACAAACGTTTTGGCTTCAGTTTAGGGTAAAAGATATTGGCAGCATGTATATCTGTAGATTGTCTCATGCCATAACCAACCGCTTTGACCTGTGCTGTTCATAAGGATGAGACTTAGGAACAGCTGCTATAGTGATGAACAATTTTAGAACTTATAATACATATTTGGAAGAGAAATAGATCCTGAAATTGTATGAATGTTTGTTTTAAAAAAGTGTTGCCAACGTAAACCAACTGTACAATTAAAACAGTTTACGTGGTATTAAATGACTACAGTTTGAAGTCATTGTTTGTTCTAAAACATCACCGTTTCTCCTGTATGTGAAGTGGGAAAACCTCAGTCATCTTCCAGTTTGAGCTGTGTTCCAGGACGTTTTGACTTGGAAAAAAAAGTGGAAAGAACCTAATTTCCCAGCAGCCTGGAGCGCACCATTGCAGCCCTGGTTTTCTTTGTGGTAGGTTCAGTATTTCTCCCTATTACATACATGCTGCATGTGGAGGAAGCACAATTACACATTTTCCAAACCAGGGAAAACTAATGTCAAGTCGTAAACATAACCAAGCGAACAATGTTTTGTGAAAGGTGTATTCCAACCTGTTATACGCACTTCAAGCCAATGTAATTAAATAAAAAGGTGCTTGTTAGTCTTCAAGATTGAGCCCAGTCCAGAGAGCATGGTGTGTAGTGGTGAGGCGATAGCAGCTGCAGCGGAGTTGGAGATGGCTGCATGTGGCAGACCAGCGGAGCTCCTGAGGCCTGTTCCTTCACATCGGTGCACTTTACAGTTTATTATCCTGTCTTCACTTCAGAGGTCAGCTTTAGCTCAAGTCCTGGTCATAACGACCCTTCATCATCAGATTAAGTAAAGGTCCTACCTGCAAAAAGGAAAATCATTTTTATGTTTCAACAATAGTATTACCCAAAATGGTGTAAAAACATCTGAGAAGCTGAATTATATATTTGGGCTCCATATATATCTATTGTATTGCTATTTTGGCCAAAACCAAGACATCATTGCAAAAGTTTTTTGTGGCATTCAGACTGTCAGAAAAAACAGTGTATATAAACAATTAGTAATTTAAGTTTCTAAACTCAGTCCCTCAGAAAGCCCATTTCTGCACGTTGTAACAGGACACTTTTCCAAGTTACATTTACATTTACATTACATATACATTAACATCCAGAAAACATGTTTGTGCGTGAAGATTTAAGAGACTTATTATTATTCACATCCTCTACTGTTGTTGCAAACCGGGGCGGGGTCAGAGAATGTTCAAAATGGGACATAAGCAGTGCACGTGCAGAAGTACACGTACTGTGGCCTTCCTTCAACCCTGCCACAGCCACATCATGCCCTGAGGCCTGGGAACATGAAGAACGTGTAATAGACCCATGCTCTGCGCTCACACTGGACCAACCATGCTTTAGAGGCAGACCCCCTGGGCCAGAGTGCAGGTTATCTAGTGCAGTGTCTCCCAAAGTGGGGTCCGCGGCCCCCTGGTGGGCCGCGAGGGTACTGCAGGGGGGCCGCGGGAGGTCATAAAAAAAAAAATATATATATATATATAATTATTTAATGTTAAATGTATAATGTTTTGTTTGTAATATTAAAATATTTGTGTTCATTATTTGACTTGAATAAGCCACTGTAATCATTTTTGTATTACAATGTTTGTAGCAGAGGCTATTTCCCCAAAATAAAATAACCAGAAGAGCCTATTCTTAATGTTGTCTTCTTGGTTATTATTTTGGGGGGCCACGCAGACCCGTCAGATTTTTAAGGGGGCCTCGGTGTTACTGAGTTTGGGAATGGCTGATCTAGTGTATCATTAATTGATCACTATGAAATGCCTAGGCTGTATGTCTTCAACAACACTCAAAAGAACTTGGTTTATAGCATGTTATGGATTGTATAGTTATTATTAGGCCCGAGCCCCGAATGGGGAAAGGGCCTATTGTTTTTGCTCCAGAGATGTCAAATTCTGCACTTTTCACCCCCTGAACATGCATGAAAAGTTGTAAAATTTGCCCAAAAATCAGACCTGGTGAAAAATTTGATATTTTGGTGTTTATTTTTATTGGACTCAAAAAATGCCAGAACAGCGCCACCTACAACAGCCAATGGGAGTTTCAGAGGTCAAGTTTGTCGTAGAGCCATGAAATCAAGATACGACCAAAATGTTGTCATGGCTCCGCCCTCTGACAAACAGGAAGCCCATAAATTTCACTGCAAAATGGAAAAATGATCCGCAATAGTTTTCATACATGTTGGTTGGAAAGCGACTCCTCCTCGACCGTTTCACCGATTTGCTTCAAAATCGCTCCACATCATCTCAACACATGTACATTCTAAATGACCTCAGGGATTTTTGATCAGTGAAACGTTGTTCGAGCAGCAAAGCGGCAAAATGTGACCTTTTTTTGGCAGTTTTTTACAACATTAAATTTGCTCCCGTTTGCACATACAAAGTCTGATTTGAACAAAACTTTAATACATTGTTCAACTCCAGGGTTTAGGTCAGGTGAAAGTGAAATATTTGAAATTGGCCAATTAGCGCCCCCTACAGACTGAGTCAAAGTTTACATGGGGAGCCAAACCAGCTCTACTTATATTTATTACAATTTGACTAACATTCTTCTATGGCTACGAGAACAAATCATCACACAGCGGCGCCACCTCCTTTGCGCGGTGCTGCGTGGTACGGTGTAGTGCGGGGCGTTGTGGAGCGGCGTGGGGCGGCGTGATGCAGGACGGCGTGTTGCAGTGCGGCGTGGTGCAGGGTGGCTTGGTGCGGGAGGGGGTGGTGTGCACGGTGCGGCGAGGGCCGTTTGACGCCGCTTGCGGCTTTAATTTATTTTTATTTTTGTAAAAAACAATTGTGAATGAGTTTTCCTTATTTGTAATAAGCTTTCAGGTATTGTAGTTTAATTCTTAGTTAAATGAGAACCACACAATGACATTCCTTTGCACTATATGAGGCGTGCCATAAATATTCATGCTAATTGGGTTGCTGGAGCGGTCAGCGAGCCCGAGGGATCAGCCGCAACAGCTGACCTAAATGTAGTGCGCATGTTTGATGTTCAGCACAAACCTGTGTGCGTCTGCTAAACATAGCAGGTGTGAGGAAACGGAACCAACCTCCTGAGGGTCTCCGAGCGCCTCGCCCAGCATCTTCTCTATGTTTCGCATAATGGCCACCTTCTGATGAGCCTTCAGCGGGTAGTCAATCTTCTTAGGCGTTGGCGCACCCTGAGCGAAGGAAACAATCTATTTATTCATCAATGTTCAATAATTGAATCCATAAAGAATACAAAATTAACTCTGCTCATCTCCCTTAGTGCACCCTCCCCAGTATCAAATATTGGGGTGGCAGTATCATACTGTGAGGCTGCTTTTCTTCAGCAGGAACTGGGAAGAGTAACAAAGCTTCAGGAGCTGGAGATTTCACATAGTATCTACTAATGCTGTATGATTACTTTTGCAACCCCCACTATTCAGTTTTTATGTGTTTAAATGAACAAAATCATGTATATTTTTCTTTAACTTCACAGTTGTCTGTTACTTTGTGGTGTACAAATATTTTTGCAAGGTACTGTACATAGAGTAGAAGGGAAGAGTGCTTACTTTGTACCAGAAGTTAACAGTGATCGTAATCCCACCATTTAACAAGGATTCAATGTGATGCCACCTGGAAAACAAGCAGCAGAACTGGTCAAAGCATTTGCATTTTTGCATTTTTTCTAGAAATATTTGTAAAAATGGAAATGAATACATTGAATTCAATTCTAAACTTATTGTGAAGGTGAACTGTAAATTTACTCTAGTTAAATTGTTTCCTTCTCAAACATTGGTTCAAATTTGTAAGATTGATAAGACCAGACTTGAGACAAAATGAGACATATGATATGAGGTTTGTTTTTGTTTTGTCTGTTTTCCTTTACAGGATGAGGCATGGAATGTGGATGTATAATGTAATGTACAAAGTGTGTTGCTCAGTTGCTCAGTCACAAACAAACGTAACAACGTGGACGTAACAAATACACATCTTTGAGAGATGAATTATTTAGAGAAGTTACCCTAAACACAGAATTGAACACAGAATAGAACACAGACTGAACGAGAATACAGTGTAACAGCCAACTCCAAACATGCTACGTACCAGTACATCGGGATATAGAGGACATCACCAGGGCCCACAACTGCTTCATAACCAACTATGTTTTTAAAATTAGGAAACCTCTCATAGTCTGGGTTTTCAAAATCCACCTAGTGGTAAGAAGACAAGTTAGTTTAGCATAACAAGGAGAGCTTGGACAAGGAAATGACTGGTAGTAATCTTGCCTGGCTCTGTCGGTCACAGGGGTGGTGCACAGGGTACGGATACAGACACTCAAACTGGTCTGGAGGGAAGAGAAGGCATCTCTTATGGCCTTTTATTTGTGCAAAGAAGTTCTGCTGCTCATCGTAATGTGCAGGCGTCACATTACCTGCAGGAAAGAAAAATCCATAAAATAGGCTTAGTTTGTACATTTGTATGGTTACATGCATGCAGAAAATATCTCATGCTCCATCCACGATAATATCAGAAACTGGCACAAACCCTTATGACTAAATGCTTCCATATCAAACTTGGTACACTCACGCATCCTTAAACATTGACGTCATCGACATTTTCTACTTTTTTAAACAATTCATTGACTCACAGCTTTACTAATAAAGTAGAACGCAGTTTTCCTACTTGCACCGCTAGATGGAGTTTCATTTCTGCACTTCTCTTATCACAATAGTCCATGTGAACTTTATTTGTATAGTACATTTACAACAACACCAGCTGGCCAAATTGTTTCAGAGGCACGAAAGATAAAACATAAAAGAGAACACATAATGGACACATAATTACCGTATTTCACATTTAAATGAAAGATCACTGTGTGCACTAAAAATTAACCTCAAAGGGTTTTAGCTCAAGAGATCATTTCCACCCATATTCTTGAGTAGGGGACTAAGAGATAGGGATACATTTTGGCCAAGATAACAATAGGCTTTTCTTTATTGTTGAAATAACATAATAGTGCTGATGTTGGGGGGGGGGGCTGCTTACTCATCACTGTGCCCTTAGGCAAGACACCGCACCCGCCTTAAACGTTGTGCGACTAGGAAAGCACTGTACAAGACTGGATTTGCCCTGGTGTGTGCAGCCAGCAGAGACCGCAGCGGCGCAGACGGCGCACATACCCTCCATGCCGATCAGCAGCAGGTTAGATGTCAGCTGGCCCCAGTTCCTCTTGGCTTGCTGCTTGTTGATCCAGTTCCAGTTGAAACCCAGGAAATCCACCACAATCTTCTTCCCGACGGTGTCATTCAGGGTCTGCTGGAGGTACACCCTGTGGTCAAAATCAGGACAGTTAGACATGTATACCGAAAGTCTATTCGCTTTTTTACTTTATTACCATTTCTAAGTAGTATTTTTATTCGTATATGTATAAAAGGCACAAGAAATAGCAGGTTATAAAAAAAATAAAAACTGCAATTTGAAAATAGGGTTGGATGAAGCAGACGCGTATTTAGTTCTGACCGCTCTCACTCATACAACACAGTACAAAGTACACACAGGCACAGACATGCACACACACTCACTCTGACAAGACACAGGCTCAAACACTCTCTGGCCCCACAGCTCTCTCCCATCAAGGGAATCAATCGTTTTCTTCCACATTTGTATAAAACTGCAACCTTGCTATGCAGCTAATGTATGTATTCTACTGCGGTGCAGAAAATAATTTGGACATATTTCTATCTGCTGTTGTTTATGTGAACAGAGAGAGTTGACACTCGACATTAGGGCTGTTGTCAGAACGGTTTATGGACTTGTTATTTTGACTCCATCCAGGTTTAGAAGCTATATGACGCACATTTATTGGTAAATGAGTCCCGACACGGAAGCTAACAGTTAATGTTTGTCTCCTCAGAGTTCATGCTTTTATGTATATTTTGCTTTGTCCATAACAAGTCAACATTGCATTAAAAACTGTTGTATCCAGTTTTAAAAACAGTCATCTATTAGCTCTTGTTTTGTTTTTCTCCACCAGCTGTTGGTCAAGATTTAAATTACCACACAAAAAACTTGTGTAGCCTTTAATGTAGTCAACTTTTACGTCATCTTAAATAGTAGCAGCAAATACTATACTTTTGATTTTTGAATTAAATCAATTGTAAACTATAGACATGCACATATTTAAATTGGCATTATTGTCTATCCACAATAACAAGAACACATTGAAGATCCCACTTTTTCACTTCTGATCTCAGTGCTTAATCTGATAAGTGATAAGTGACTGCCAGTATCCAATCCCAAATGACACCAGTGCAGATGTCCTTACATCCAAATGAGCCAACACATGAGCTGACCCACATGTGATAATGTGTCCATCTGCATGCTCTATGTGAGATTGTAATATACAACTCTTGCCCAGATACAAGGTAAATACATTATCCCTCAAGTTGTTTATCACATTTTGCCAGATAGAATGTTGTTAATAGCGTTCATTCTTATAATCTTCCTCCAATAACATTTGTATATATTTTGTATAGGGTCAGAGAGTGTTTGGGTTTGTGTCTTGTCTGTGTGCGTATCAAATGGTGCTGTTTTTCTATCCATTTTGAAAAAAATTAATTACTACTGTACACAAATGCACTGAGTATAATAACATTTGATGACGATGACACCCATGTTACATTGTCATTCATTTATATTTTTGTATCATTTTCAAGCCTATTTGTAGCTGATTCCCACAAACTTATAAATCTATGAGAAAAATTTTAACAATTCAATGAATCCCCTGTTTCGTACCTTACCAAACTAACAAAAACAGGTCATCTTTACTAAAATAGCTACTTTCAAAGAAAGTGAGTGTGTGCTTCAGACTAAACATTACACCCTGATTTTGTACAGACTTCCTCAACAAAATTCTTGTATGGGGACCCCTTTTTATACACCAGCTTATATTAAACCTTTAGTTTTAATATTTGATGTGAAACAACCAAAAGGTAATGTCACTTTATGAGAAATAGTGGACTAATAAACTCAATAACACAAATATATACAGGAAAACTGTAGGGAAATGTTTGTGTGAAGCCAAGTCGCTGTCGTGTCCTGGATTCAGGAGATTGTGTGGCATTTGTGCTGCATTGGGTCAAAACAACAGTGAAGATTTGTCACATTGAGGCCAGGCTTGTATACGTGCATGAGAGCTCATGTGGGGCTATGAGAAGACGCTGCTCTCTGCCTCTCTGCGTGTACTGAGTCATCTCCCTACCCTCCCCTCGCCTCGCTCTGTCACGTACACCTGCACCATTGGCACACCCCTGTCCTGAACCCATTCCAACCACAGATTGCAAAATTAACTTTTTATGGATTACTTACAAGGTTATGTACGGAGGATGGATAGAGCAATTACCAAAAGTTGCATCCCATAGGGTGGAGATAAAACATATATGCACATTAAAGCATAGCAAGTCCTTCCATATCTGTAATAAGCAAATGTGACTAAACTATCACCTGCTAACATTATACATGGTGCACACTTTTTGTTTTGTGTTGTTTAAGCTCAATTTATTATTCGAATGCATTTAATTATATTGTTCTAGTCGGTTCAAACTCAACTCTTGGCAGTTACTAAAGAAGAACTTTGACATGTCTCCGGACCATATAGGTGCCTACTGTAGAGCAGAGGGTTGATATAGCATGACCCATTTCCTCTCACAAATTCACAAAAAACATTACCAAACGTGAAGGAAATGAGCACTATTATTGAAGACTATTCATCGTATGGAGAGTGACTGTCAGCAGAGGAAGTGCTGACAAAACCACTACATCTCACTCATGCCCATTCAAAGCAGGAAGGAAAACACTTTGCCCACCGGTGAGCAGATAAGCCAAAAACAAACTTCAGAGCAAAGTTAACTGTTTCTAACAATATTTGAAAGCAGAAGTACCTAACCTGTGTATCATAAAAAAAACATTGTGTTTGTTCCAACAGTCATATGGTGACCATATCAGACCACAACATTCATCATCTTAAAAGTATCTGACCCAAACTGAACTCAAACCAAAGTTTAATCAAAAGTAAGTGTTTACTGGATGGTCCAAAAGTTGCTCTTGGCCCAACGCTACGTTCCACATGTGTGTCAATGCTGAGGGTAGTTTAGCCGCTGGGGACTTTTGAATGCACTTGTTACATGAATGGTTTATTTTTTTCACATTTTCCCGCCCCCGCAGCAATTTTGAAAAAGCCCACAAAAGGCAAAAGTGGTGGCACATTAGTTTTAATAGGTGGAGATAGGCGTGACTGCGTACGTAAATATTTACATTCTATGGCCACGACACACAGGTTGAAAAACATTAAGGGTGAATATTATCAGTAAGTTTGTTTTTATAATTGTGATGTATATTTCTATGTGTGTTCACCTGCCCAGGGACTAAAGATGGAAAGTAGCTGCAGCTAAATGTGGTGCAAATCATCTTTTGTAAAGACTAATGGTTTTGTACATTGTCCCTGTTCTATGAACAATAAATTAAAATAAACTAAACATACTGTGCATTTAAGAAAAAATATTGAGCAAACATGTGAGTTTGATCAGAGTTGAATATCAAAGCACATGCCAAAAAATTACTGCAGTTTTAACATAAAAATAGTGAAATTTAAGTTCACTCTAACATATAGCACATTTTGAATCACTCTTTCCATATAACTCCTCGGCCTTTGTGAGGTTTTTCTCTTGCACGTCCTTTGATCATTATGTGTGGAGTAAGGGTGCATTATAAATATCTTTAAAGTCTTACCTTTCCTGTTCCTCCTGTTCCTCCGTTTGGTACAATTTCTCCACAAACTGGCTAAATTTCATCTCCATCCTCCTGGATTTTGGGACAAAGTTCTGCATGTTGGACATTTTCTTTTCGTCGTAGTAGAGGAATTTGTGGTTCTCTGAGGCGTAAACAGAGAAATCCCCATTCCCAATGTTCTCCTGGAGGTAGTCAATGTCCCACTTTAGCGCTGGATACACCAGGTTTGTGTCCGTTAGTACCACCGGCTCCTATGGGAAGAGAGAAATGTTAGCATGTGTATGCATTTATGGTAGTGTTAGTTTAGCAAAAATCTGGAAAACTGTCATTTATATTCAGTACTGGAGTCACCATCAGAGACTTATGTGATGATAATTATGTTATTAAAAAAAGCTCCTGTGCAGCTCTGATGAGTGCCTCTGTGCTGTCCTGTAGGCCAGCCCTGTCTAGCCATTGGTAGGACTTCTTGAGATCAGCCACTTCTGCTATGCTCCGGTGGTAAAAGCTGTGTAGGGGCTTGTTCTCCCATGATGGACGCTCCTCCAGCACCTCCTCATCTCGCAACTGTCCGAGACATCCGTTTGGGCCTTCTCCATAATGTAGTTACGGAGTTTGGATGTTTCCACCACGCCATACATGGTGAGGAGCTTTTTAACATATGTGGTCTGAATCTCTTCCTTTGGCCACCTGATTATTCCTGCAATTCTCATTGTATAAAATATTCAATATATATCCAATTACAATTACAACCTAGCAAAATATGTGCATAACTCTGCAGTTATTAAATGTAGGCTCTGTTTTCATACTCCTGAGATAACAATGTCAGCCCCAAACATCGTTCAATCTTTATATTTTTTCAAAATCCCTGAGAAAAAAACCTGTATTTTGACTTCCGGGACCTGGTCGAGGGCGGTCACACGGCTGGGTCGGTCACATGGATGGGTCGGTCACATGGATGGGTCGGTCACTCACTCCGCAGCTCCGTATCCGAATCAATATGAACTATTCCTTGTTCTCGTTATTTTTACCACAACGCTACAAGTGAAACCAGTTTGCATAAAAGTGCCAAGAATAACTAGGAGCAGTAGACAACGCTGTGTTTGACAGTGTTTAATGGCCATAGCAGCGTGCACGCGCAGGGCTACGTGACAGTCTCCGCGTATACCTCTGTGCGCGCTCCCGTGCGGAGATTACAGGCACATCTGTCCTTTTCGCCTTTTGCCTTTGCGATGTCATATTATTTGTTCCCGTGCGGTGTTCAGCAGGCAGTGGTGTTTCGGAGGGTCGCAGAGTGCACATCTATCGGACTTTGGCTTTGAGTCTTCGTCCACACAACGCAGAAAGGAAAGAATGTTGTTTACTACATGCGGCTTCCTCCCGTCCTGAGTATTCACGGGTTTGAGTGGATGGAGATTGACTTGACTCTAAGATACATATACCATGATCTCAATGGGAGAATATGCATTTAGTTACAGAGATTACTTGTATTTAAATTATTTATGTATTGTAGTCGTTACATGATAAAGATATAGTGACTGAGTAGCATCTTAGTACTCTTTGATGTTGACTTGTATACATGCACGTATTGAAAGAGTTCAAGAGCTTTGTGTTTTGCATCATTTGTTATAATGAATTGGGAAAATATCAAACACTCACATGTACCAGTTACGTTGTCATGTTTATTTCGGTGATATCCTGCCTAATTATCATGTAAACAAATTCCACTATGAATGTAAAGTTACTCCAATATAAAGAGAACCTTTATTATTACCACAGTGAGGACATTTCCGTGCTGAAGTGCACACTCCAGAACAGTGGGAATGAAAGGAGCATTCCAAACAAACAGTTGTTTATTTTAGAGGGAAACGTCAAATCTTTACATGCTTAAAAATGTAAGTTGAAGTATAAAACTATTTCAACATGCAAAGAGACTGAAGGCGTCTCATTTGATTCAACCCACAGAGAAGGTGAAATAGGGTAGTTCATGTAATGGCATGATAATAGACATAACGTGCCTTATTAACAAGAGCTGGTATCGCAGCAATGCAAAGTGATAGATGTTTGGCATACGTGACTGAAAACCACAGAGTGAGGAGAGATCTCAGAGGAACGAAGAGGAAGCATGAGCAGATTGACAGCTCTTGAAACAAGAGACAATGAAATGCATCAAATTAGCTTAAGGAAAAGGCTGTAGGGGAGATGGACGTTTGATTTGAAATGATCTTGAATCCCTTGGGGCCATGATCCTGGTGGTGGGAATCAGGCTGAAGCAGAGGAGAAGCTTGCATAAGAAGCAATTTGTTTGTGATGAGCTTTTAATGCTAATGGTGCAGGTGCAGAGTAGATTAAGGGGAAGGGGTGGATATGATAAGGATAGATTAAAGCTGGGCGGTAATCTTCCAGTATGAACTTCATAACTGCACAAAATGTGAATATTATACAGAAATGGTTAGGCTGAACTTGCTTTTAGCAAGGGGGGTTCTTGACAAGAATAGTGATGGCTACCAGTAGCAAATTGCTGCACACTACCATCATTAAGAAATTAACAGAATATGTATTGTCCATCCATCCATCCATCCATTTTCTACCCTTTAATCCATTTCTGGGTCAGGGGGGTGGCAATCAGAGATGCCATCCAAGTCTCATAGCACCAGCCCCTCACTGACCCTCTGCAGGTGGTGAGTCCACAGGAGGACGGCTGCTCTCTGAGTGTGAGCATAGCCTTGATCTTTCAGTGGGGGCTTTGGGCAAAGTGGGGTTAAGTGTCTTGCCCAAGGACACAACGACAGCAGTCATCAGTGGGAGTTGGTGGAGAAGGTGCAGAGGTGGGAATATGTATTGTGTCACTGTTTAAACCTGTTGTAAAGGACTTATAAACTCAATGCACATGTGCACGGGTTTGACTCGTGCACACTGGTGATCAGGTGATGTGCTTAAATGCAAGCAGTATGATTTTCTATAGTCCAGTGATTTTCAACCAATGATCCTGTAAACACGAGTGCCCCATAGGAAATGCCTATAGACTGTATAGTATTGGACTGACCACTGAGTGCTGATGTCACTCGTAGTGCCAATTAGAGAAAAAAATTAAACAAATCCAATCCAATCCAATCCACTTTATTTATATAGCACATTTAAACAAATGTTATTGCTAGCAATGGCTGGAGTTGCCAAGTGTCAATCAGGTACTTGGAGTAATCGCAAGTGGAATTCTGATTGGTTAGTTATTCAGGCCCATATCTGGATTTACAAAGACAGTGTCATAATATAAACATTAGGATCAAAGAGAAAACTACACTATGGATTTTTGAAGGCCAAAATGGTGAATGACACAAATAGTTACTCAGCTAGGAGCTAACTTTTCAATGTAAGTCAAAAGGAGCCAGAGTGACTTGGAGCACAACTTTGTTCAAGAGCACTTCCCTACTGGGCTTCATTGAGTTAGCTGGTTAGCAGTATGCATTTATATACACTCTAATGCCACAATGTGCTTTGGGAGAAATTCTATTGAATCATGCTTGTAATTTTGCTCTACCAAAGATTGTTAAGTGACACACATGCACATGTATCACATCACATTGCTCAACATCTCCCGCCATTCCTACTATTCCAGCTGGCTAGCAAAAAAAAACTACATCCTTGCACATCCCTTTGGCAGTAGCACAAGTTCACATCAGGTTAGACATTTTGGCTGTGAAAAGTCGAGCTCATGCAGTTTAATGATTCTATCTTTATGATGCGATGGCATAAATGCTGTGTCATCCTGAATGCGCTCTCTGAACAACAACACAAGGATGACTATATACTTGATGATGACTTGCAGACATTAGAACTGCTTTGTGAGGGTGCGTTTGGGACAAGGCCACACAGCGGGGCACTGAAAAGCACAGGTGATAGATCAGATTTAAGCCATTGTCTTTCTCTCAAACCGCTGTGCAGCTGTCAGCTATTGTCACTGTGCTATTCTTTTGCACACAGGAGGGAAAGGCTTGACTAGATGGACTCATGACGTTTCAAGCTGCCCATAATCTCATCTCAAACTAAATATGATGTTTTGGCTTGGACATGGCATGCAATTGATAGGCCACATTTTAGCAGTAATAGATATTTATAGATATAATAGACTTTTAAATACCTCACTTATACTTAACTTATTAGTTTAATTTATAACAACTATTTTTCCCTTATTAGAAAACATGTTATCTTTTGCATAGTGACTGACAGAGCCCTGTGAGTGAGGCGGTCCTCTCTTTTTCACTTTTCTCTCTGAAAACTACTTAGATGGATTGTAAATGCATAGTTCAATTTTTGTGGTTTGAAAATAAGCAGGTTTTTTTTAAATCACATGTCTCACATCAGTTTGTTTATTGTTTTACATAGAGCCAATAACTTGTCTCTACTAACAGTCAATCAATCACAACACTAATTTCACATCTCAGTAAGTAGGGGCAGCTTGGAGACAATCCCTTTGTCCACATTACAGTAGACTGACACATTTTGAGAGCATATAGATTTATAAATCAGGATTTATTACATGATTACTAACACTATAATATAAATAAACTATTATGTACATACAAGTATATATTTATTTGATGAGTATAGAGTAGTGCTATACCTATATCTAGTTGTGTGCCCCTCATTCCTACTGTTCTGTAACTTGTGATGCAACACTGACATTTCCCCACTGTGGGTCGAATGAAAAGATCTCTCTCTCTCTCATGCAGCTGTGACTTCATTCATTCATTCATTCATTCATTCATTCATTCCGTTACCTCGTTATTGATGAGCGCTTCTGCCCGGGGATCAGCGTGGGAGAGGCGCGGGATGGCTCTGGTGGGAAAGTTGTACTGCCGAAGCTGTGACTGGTCCCAACCCGGGTCCACGACACCGGAGAAGGCGGCAGGAGATGCATCGTTCCCAGAAAGTTCAGCTTCCACCACGGTCACCGCAGCAGCCATGGTCCCGTGCGTCAGCCTGTGCCAGTTGGAGCCGAGGCGCGCATAGAGCAGAGCGCACGGCCACACGCACGCACCAGCGGCTTGTGTGCCTGTGTGTTTGTGCGTGTGTGTTTGGGTGGGTGTGTGTATGTGTGGGTGTTTATGCAGCCCGTCCCGGTGACTGAGAGGACTACATACGGCACCGGTCCGCGGATTGCAGCTGAATGGAGAGTATGGGGGTTTAGCAGACGCTGGTTGGTGCTCGCGTAAACAACAAACGACCCGCAGTCTGTGGAAGAGAGACGCCCCGAGAGGGAGCTGCTCAAGCCAAAGGAAACAGCGCCACCCTGCGGATCGGCGTCAACACTGGGTCAGCGCTGTGAGAGTGGCTGTAGTTATGAGGGCTGGCCAGCAGAGGGAAGCATCTTACCTTACTAATAAAATGTCTGGCTGACTTACTTAAAGTAGCAATATGTAATATTTGCATGTCAAGTCATTGTAGCGTACCAAACGGGAGAGGGATGAGCGACACAGAAAGAGGCAAATTGTAGTTGGAGACTCTCAAAAAGTGAGGTCCCCATTTACCAGAACCCGCAAAACATAGATCACAAGGGAACACACATGCGCACTAGTATAATTGAGAATGAGGAGTTGACGTCACGGCACAGAGTCCCCCCTCCCCATCCCCCCTTTGCCGACATATTGGCTGCGCACCGGTGGCGGCAGTACAGTTTGTTTACTAGGGCCATAGCACATCTCAGAATTCACGTGGAGAGGGTGATCGGTGTTGTGCGCAACAAATTCAAATTCTTACACTCAACTGTACCTGTGCACATGCTTGTCAAATGTGAGGGTGAAAACCTAATGCCTTTGGATAAGATTGTCATTGTTTGCTGTGCCTTAACGAACATGTGCAAAAGTGTTGTTTGAGTACCTTATTCTTTACTGTATCTTTTATTTTTAAATAAATGCATGAAACAACTTGATATGGTTTACCAATATTTATTGAGAAATGAATATTTTTTTTGTTACAAACGTGTGCAGTCAAAGTACTGTTTCCAGCATGTAAACATGCCCAACATAGGTAAAAATGATAATAAGAGTCATACTTTTCTTAGTGCAAAGGGACACAAAACACTGCTAAACAACGTGTGCATTCAAAGTACTGTTTCCAGCATGTAAACATGCACAGCATAGGCAAAAATGATCATAAGAGTCATACTTTTCTTAGTGCAAAGGGACACAAAACAACTATGTCCATGTATGTGCACGGAGGTAAATGGTCCAGGTTTCTGTGCCATTCCGCTGCAGGGAGCTCGTATGGGTCGATGTTTTTGATGTCCGCAAGCTTCTCCAAATACCTCTGTTTTGCGCTTGGTATGAGCTTGTTCCTGTACGGTCCCTTCTCTTTCGCCTTATCTCTAAGCATTGTTTTACTGTCTTCCTTTCCCTTGTTGTATCAGTAGATCCGTCTCTGTCTCGCCGAAAACGTAAATGCGTATAATTTAAAGTGCTCTGGAATATGAGGAGCGCGTGAAATTCTGGGGGCGTGCCCCCGTTGCGCAGCCAATATGTCCGACAGGCTCAGAGCCCCCCCCAAATCACCCCAACTCGGCACGTGACTCCTCATTCTCAATACTAAAAAGTCGTTTACATCATCATTAAATGGCCCCGATCTTTCAAGATGTGTTATTAAATCATGCTCTTTTCGAATACATCTTTAACAGATAACAGTAGTGAAGCCGAGATATTTGAATATCAAAATTAGTTTTACGACCCGTAAAAGTTGTTATTGTTTTGATTTCTGTGTCCCGCTCGCTGCTGTTTCGCCAATCAGGAAGTGAGTGATCCGTGTTGCCAGAACTCTGCACGGCTGACTAATCTCAGTGGTAACATGTGGCCGCTGAACTAAAAAAGGTCTTATTATGACTCTCAAATCATTTATGACAACAAAGACTAAAACGAGGATTTATATATCGAGACGCATTTGAGAAATTGAGACAGCGGATACGTTTTTGAGTGATGCCAAACTTGCTTGATTGACTCCGTTGCCCTCCGCTCGTTCAATTGTGTCTCATAACGGCCTAACGTGTAGGACATATAACTGACGTTCCAGCGACCATGGGTTCGAGACCGGACAGTCTCGAACCACATTTGCATGATATCATATTTTATGACAGATTGCTCAAAAACAGGTAAAAGACAATAATCAAGACGTTTTTTGCAGATTATTGCTTAAAAAGAATAATTTGAGACCACATGTAGCTCAAATAAAATAATAAAATAATGTCTATTTGATTTGGGACTTATACATGTATGTCTAAAAAATAGGGAATAAATAAAATTGAAGGGTGATATCCTCTGGAGGAAACCCTGATGTTGATACGCTGCAGAAATATGTTCCAACATCCACTATTCCCACTCCTATTTTGGAGTATCAATTGCTTATTTATTTTGCATAATCTATGCATAATTAAATTGCTTTTATTTTGTTTTTCCCATCTCAAATGTCCAAATATGTTTTTATTTTTTTAAACATTCAATCAACATTAGCACGGCTATCATGGCAATGTGAATGCAGACAGACAACTGATAAAATAATTCCCTGTGTTTGCTGCTGGATTTGGTGTGTATCTGGCAGTTAGGGAGAGTGGGAGAGGACTACAAAATATTGACTGTAACTGCAGTACCACTTTTGGCCAGATTTTTACATACTGTTCCTTTAAGCGCTCTGTTTTATTCAGGCAAAGTTGAAGTGGAGTGCCGTGTGCAGGCTGTGATGGGAGAATATGATTATAATGTATACACAGACACACTCCAAACGATAAACAGTTTAATGTATTTTGTCAACGTTACTAAGCTGTGAGCAACTAGAATAGGACCTACTTCAAGTTTAAATTAAAGCCGCAAGCGGCGATGAAAGGCCTCGCCCCTCTTGCGACCGCCTCCTGGGCGCCGGTCCCACAAGCGTCACGCCGACGAATTGGCAGCCCGATTTGACCAGGATTACGTATATAAAAGCTCATTTATATGATAAAGTGCGTCCCTAGTGGTCACCTCCGGGACATGCACCCTCTACGTAGAGTAGTATTTTGCTCGTGCAGATGTAAAGATTTGATTTTGCAACTTTGGTGAAGATCGGAAAAGTTTAGGTCAGAAGCCTTCCATAGGTGGCGCTGTAGAGTCATATTAGGTGTGTGTTTTCACACCATTACTCTCAGGCCATTACCAACTGTTAGCGATGTGAGTTTCAGCTCTGTAGGTCTGAGCCTGTGGTCAGGAGAGCATCAAACATGGAGAAATTCCCCGCTACCTCGCATGAAAACGATAACAAAATTCTAACTTTTATGCGATGATTGCATAACTTCAATCCGTCCCGATGGAGAAACGACATGGTAGAAGTCTGTGCGATGAAAATCTAGGGACTAGTACGAAGCCAAAAATGCGACACCTTGAACTGCCTGTAGGTGGCGCTGTTGCACTCACAGTTGTGTGTTGCATATTGTTGTGTTCAGGGTCATACGCTGTATTTCTGAATTCATTTTTAGCCTCATCGGACAAACATTTTGCCCCATAAAGCTCATTTATTCACTTTACGGCGCCCCCAGTGGTCAGGTGTGGGACGTACAACTTTTGCATAATGTAATTTTTTACTTGTCTCGGTCCAGAGATTACACTCAGCGATTTTCGGGCCGATCCGAGCACTAGTGCCCTATTACTTTCCGACAGGTGGCGCTAAAGAGCTCATATTGGGCGAATGATTTTAGTGTCATTGCGTTCAGGCCATAACCTAATATTACTGATGTGAGTCTCAGCTCTGTAGGTCTGAGCTTGTGGCCCTCAGGGCTCAGCGAAAATGGCCAAAACGAAGGCCTTATTCGCCATGGCGAGGGACGAAAACGGTGAAGATTTTCTAACTTTTTTTCGATGATTATATAACTTCAATCCGTCCAGATTAGGAAATGACGTGGTAGAACTCTGTGTGATGAAAAACCAGGGACTAGTTCGAATTTGTAAATGAAAAGTCAAATTAGTGGCGAAACTTTGGCCCATCATGGCCGACTTCCTGTTGGTCCCAGACATGTGCTTAGACCGGCTTTTATGCTCGTCTCATAGAGATCTATCACTCATCCGAATTTCGTGTACCTACTCCAAAATATGCAATCCTGCCTCCAATAGAAATGGCAAATTTTGAATTTTCAAGGGGGCGCTATTGATTCGCCTTTTGTCGGACAATTTGGAAACGTCCGTTTTATCAAATTTTTCGCCGGACCGGTCGTTTTAGACCCCCCATGTGCAGACTTTCGTGCATGTCTTCAGGGTCAAAAATCGAATTGAAGATGCGGAAAAAAAAGAATAATATGAAACCGGTGAATAACAATAGGCCTCCCCAATACTTCGTATTGGCTCGGCCTAATTAAACGTAAAGCTGTGCCATATTCTTTCCATTCAGAGATAATGGATTCAACAGTGCTTTGTGAGATGTGAAACGTAATAAAAGTATGCACATATATAAAAATAATTATTGTTAATATGTATTTTTTCTACCTTATTACCAATAATATTTTCACAATGTCTGTGATGTTCAACATGCATCATGCAATAGGATATTGTAATTAAGTGAAGACAAATGTTTTAAAAGATAGATATTAATTAGCACCTGCAGGTGCTCTGTGACTTGGGTGGCATCTCTGACTGCCACCCCCCCAACCCAGAAATGGATTAAGGGGTAGAAAATGGATGGATGGATGGATATTAATTAGACATAGAGAAAACTGTTTTTTCCCCACATTTTATTGTATATAATTCTCTGTATTTCTGTATATTCACATAGTGTTGACCTACTTTACATGGGCTAATTTGAGTCTCTGTATATTTTTGTAGTGAATCCTTTCAATTTCAGTGTTTAGAAAAGCCCTTTTAGTATTGTTGTTCAAATTAACATGTTAAACCCTACAAACGCACAATGAAATACACGATTTAATACTTATGTGATCAATTATTCCACTTAAAAACATGTA